AAATGGGCACCAAACTTCACTTTTCCACTGCCTTTCACCCACAGACTGATGGTCAGACCGAGGTAGTTTGTGAGCACATTAGGGATTGGGATTCCATTCTTCTTACTATTGAGTTTGTTTATAATAATTCCATTAACCGAACCACGGGTCTAAGTCCTTCTGAAATTGTATACGGGTTCAAACCTAGACAGCCATTAAATCTGATACCCATGAGTTCTAGGTATAGGATTTCTGAGTTTGCATCAGCATTTGCATCTCATTTGCATGAACTTCATAAGGATATTGCACAACAAATTGAAAAGATTAATCATGAATATAAATTACATGCAGATTTAAAATGACGATTTAAAACTTTTGAGGTTGGTGACTCTGTGATGGTACAGATTTGTCCGGAACGGTTCCCTCCAGGAACAGTTAAGAAATTGCATGCAAAGAGTGTTGGACCTTTCAAAATACTTAAGAAAATTAATGACAATGCCTATGTAGTAGATCTGCCTGCAGAGTTCAATATAAATTCCTCTTTTAACATAGAAGACTTAGTGGCATATGAATGTCCTGAGTTTAACCCACCAAATTCACTATCAAAGCAGCCTTTTATAAACCCACCTTGTGAGATTCCGAACCTACCTCCACTACCAGATATACCCAAATTTCCCATGACAGAGCAAGTGGAGGCAGTCTTAAGTGATGAGATCATATCCACAAGAGAAGGAGGACGAAGGAGGTATTTGATCAGGTGGAAAGGAAAGCCCGAGTTAGAGGATACGTGGCTAGATCACGAGGAGTTACAGCAGATTGACCCGGATGCACTAGAGATCTACGAGAGCGCCAGAGATACTTACTCGACGTAGTCGAGTTTTCTCCCACCCCGGGAGGATGATGGGGACATCAGATCGTGGAAGGTTTATCAGAGACGTGGCCGCCGATCTACGGCCACGATCGAGTCTTTATATTTCTGAGTCATTTGTGTTATTTTATTATTCATGTATTTTCTTATTTGCTTAGATGTCATTTTGTTTTTCCCGTTGTACCCTCTTATGAAGGGATGTCATATGTAAGCCCAAGGGGCATTTGTGTCTTTTTTGTTTTGAGTCCTTTGTATGAGGCTTTATATAGCCCTCCTTATTTTCTTTTGAGGTTAATGAATGATTGATTATTAAAATTCCTTCTTGCATGAGCATTGAGAGCTTGAGAGTTCTAAGGGAGAGAGCTTCCTAGGAGAGGAAAAAGATTGGTGCAATACCCACCAACCTAGATAAGTCGGGTTCGTGGTTCCTTATCGTATCTCTTTTCTTTTCTTTCTCTCTTCTTTTCCCCTCCAACCACCTAGCCGCCGGTTTCCCCACTTCACCCGACCCCTCCTCCCCTCTCCAAACCCCACGGCCAAAGCCACCCCCAAGCCTCCTTGCCGCCGGTCCCTCCCTTTTTTCCTTCTTCTTTGGTTTCCTAATTTGGTTGAGATTAATTGGGATAACTTTGAAATTCAAATTCATTTAAATTTGAATTCAAAATCTTTCCTAAATTAGCCATTCTATTTTAGAAAAGTGCCTAATATAATTTAATTTTGAATTTTAAATTCATGAGGATTTAAATTAAATCTTTCCTAAATCCTAAAACCTAAATTAAGAAATCATAATTGCCCTCATTAATTGCCCCTTGCCCATGTATGCCACCGGCCCCCTTGCCCTCCCTCATTAAATCCTTTTCAAATTATTTCCTATTCTCAACTCCCCACCTAGGAAATAAATTCCAAATCCTATTTTCCCTCTAGGCCGAATTTTCCAAATCCCCTAATTCCTCACATTATTTCCTAAATCAAATAATTGATTTAAGAAAATTAATTCTTCATCCCCATCATCCCGCCGCCCCCTCTCTCTAGCCGCCTCTCTCTCAAATTCCCTCTCCACCTTTAATTCCCTATTGGACTTAATCCCATAGCTCTTACTCCTTCAAGTTCCTTTCCTCTAGACACCGAAACTGAAAATTCCTCTCAGATTTCTGAGATAAATCCAAAAATATTTCAGATTTTTGAAGGGACAATTTCAGATTTTTGGAAGGACACTTGGAGCTCGCTCTTTGCCGCTACTTGAGAGTTGTATCTTTTGCCACATAGATTCTACTTCCCATCATCCATGAATGGCAGATCCGGAGACTGAGTACGGGATAACTTGGGACGAAGACGGCTTCACCGACATCCTACGATCCACCTTCTTCGACGTGAATCTGGAGATTGACTACACCGTTGAAGACTACTTGGAGAGGATCCTAGACACTTTGGTGGAAGCTATTGACGAGCACTTCGAAGGCATCGAGTGGAGGATCTCCACCTCTCCCTAATGAAGGTTTCTCTTTTCCCTTGCATCTTATTCCTTTTAGTCTAAACTTTCCTGGGTTTGATTGCAGTCACGACGGACTCTTCCACCTTGCTCTTGCTTAAGCTTAGTAATCGTAGGAATTGAGAGAACCTCGATGCATCCTAATTCTCATTGTTAGACTAGGGATTATTTTGAAGACTATTACTGTTTGTTGTGTTATTTTTCTTATTTATTTTGGAAGCTTCAAAGCTCTTATCATGTGATTTAAGCCTAATCGGATAACCATTGATTGTTTTATTTCACTGTTCGAATTTTCCCGTAGCTTTATTCTTGAATTATTCTAATCATAAGTTGTGCAAATCCAAATGAATTAAGCATCACATATCTAGTTCTGCATCACACATATACTTTTCTGAGGCCACTCTGCTGCCCTTATTTTTGCTACATGATACTATGTTTGATGTGAAACCAGGAATTGTTTTCTTAGAGATTAATAAAAGTCGTTGGAGTAATGATAAAGTTAATCTTAAGGCGTCTCAAAATTGAAGAATCAAGAAAGCTCTAAGAATCAAATGATGCTTAGGCAATCCATTACAACTAAATTTGCAAGCACTTTAAAATAACAACGTAAACAAGAGTAATGAAATGATTAGTCAACTAGAATCCGACGGTTAACAAAGTAATCGTCTCACCTTGAGCCTCAAAGTCACTCTTCTACGTCTAGGGTTGTCGGAGGAAGAAGAACCATACAAGAAACGAAATCACTCTAAGGTAGACAGCGCAGACAATCCGTAGTGATGGAGAGGGAGGCGGCGGCGGTGGAGGTGGGGAAACGGGTGGATGGCCGTTGATGGTCCACTCATAGTCCGAGAATTGATCGTCGATGATGTCCACGAGGGTGGGGAAGATTCGGTTCAAGTAATCTTCCACGGTGTCGTCAAAACCGAACCCGACGTCGAAGAATGGTGAACGGGTGATGTGGATGTCTCCGTAGGCGTCGAGTACGAATCTGCAATCAATTTAAGGACCCGCCATGCATCCTTGCCGGAAATTGAAAGAGCACCAATAGGGAGAAAGGGAAGGGGAGGTGGGGGCTTGGAGGGGGAGAGAGTTGGGCCGGCTTTAGCTCTTGAGGGGGGTTTGACTAGGATGAGAGGCCAAGAGGTAAGTGCAGGAATTCTGAAATAAATTCAGATTTTGGAAGTTTGGAGGATGATTTAATTTGAAAATTCAAATCAATCCTAAGAGAGAGAGAGGAGCGGCAATGGGGAGAAGTTTGGGGCTGATTTAGTGGAGCTATTAATGTAATTTGGAGAGAGAGAGGGGCCCATTAAGGGGCCGGCCACATGAATAGGAGAGAGGGGCTTGAGTTTTAATTAAATGGAGCCCACAAAATTAATGACAGATTTTATTAAAAAATCTGATTGAAATTTCAGATTTTTTTGTGGGGAAAGTTTCTAAATATGAGGGCAATCAATTGGAATAAATGTGAATTTCAAATTTGAATTGAAATTCAATTAAAAGATTGCCTAAAATCAAGGAACTATTTTAGGAAGGTCATTTATATCTCTAGGGAGAATTTGAAATTTCAAATTCGAATTCCCAATGAGGGTGGCCGGCGGCTAAAGGGGTGGCTGGGGTTAGAGGAGGGAGGGGAAACAATGGCCGGCCGGTGGTGGGAGGCTGTTAGGGCCGGCGGCTTGGTTGGCCCTATGGGGCTGGCGGCAAGGGCCTTTGGAGGGAGGGGAAATCACTTCAAGAAAACATCAAAGAGAAGAATAAAATTTGAGGAGCAAGGGATTCACTCACCTCAAATGCTTCCACCCGAAAATTCACAAAGAAAACTTGGAAAAGTTTTAGAACTCACAAAGAGATCTAAGGAACTCACTAAGAGAACACAAGAGCAAATTTTCATTTCCTCAAAAAACTAACTCCAAATACAATGACTAAGCCTATATATAGGCCATCCGAAAAATAAAAATCATAAAGACGAAATTGCCCCTGGGCTACAACATGCAATAACTTCCTCATAGGGGTACAAATGGAAAACATAAAATATAAATGACATGAATAAAATAAAACATCAGAAATAAAGACTATGAATCGTGGCCGTCGTTCGACGACCCCTCCGATGGTAGGTGTGTCGAAATCTCCTATGGATGTCCTCATCAATGTTAGTTCTCACTTCTCAGTCTATTCTGCTGTTATGGAGTGTGATGGTACATAGAGAAAAAAAACATTGCTTTTTGAGTAAGAAGATGACCAGTTTCATACCATTCTGGTCAACGTCTGAGCATTTCTAGTCAAAAGTCTTATTATTTTTTTTTTTTGTTCACTTTAGCTGTCTTAGAAACTCCCAAAGTTTGGAGAAGCTACTTCATTTTTAGCCAAATGCTAATCATTTTTTTTTCTTTATTACGATATCACTTTCAACATTTTTTTGAAATCTCTACTATGTTTGATGGTTTTTTCATTTTTTGTGCATAATACTTGATATTTACAATCTCTTAACATTTATCAACTATTGTTGTTCGTATGTTTCTTTTTGTTCATAGAATACATAAAGGGTCCTTATAATTTTTCTGCATTTGAGGTTCTTTATAGTTGCGAGAATTAACTATGTGAATCACTTAAATATTTAGAATTGTGAGACATTTTAGTTATGGTATTCTCTTCAAAATGCAGGAGATCAGACACAAGGCATTTGTCGTATACTTTTCTCAGGAGAATGAATGAACCACCAACATGTATATTGGCAGTTTCAAATGTATGCATCAGGGCTTCAACATCTATTCTGATAAATTCTCATTTGAAAATAATCAAGTTTAGTTAGGTATGTTCTAATGAAATTATGAACTAACTAAATGAACTTTGAAAAAGTATGCGTTCTTTTCATTGTTTTAATTGATCTTTAAAGTTTCGTAGGAGTAACAGTTAAAAAGGTTAGTGATGTCAAATATTCACTTCTAGTTTTTCTTTTAACTTCATTATTTCTTCTTTTAAACTGATAATGTTGCTTATGCCTTTATGTATTATTATTGTATTTATTGGTGGCTTGGATGAAAAGAATGTTTTTATTCAATTATATTCTTGTTGAAGGTTCATATTTATTTTAACGAATAGTGAAAATACATTTTCATACAGTAATTGATAGTGAGGCATTTTTACGTGATCAAAATGGGAACAAATTTGAAGACATAGGGGCTTAGAATTAATAGAATAAATATTGTGTTTAGAATATTTAGTTCTAGTGGATCTAAAATTGAGAATCATCAATAGTATTTTTGTAATGTCAAATGATGCCTGAATGTAATATGTTTAATTATATATATATATATATATATATATATATATATATATATGAGGTGGCATAATTTCTTGAGTGCTGTTTGGTAATAAAATGAATAAATTGTTAGTTTTTTGGAGATTTCATTCTCTCATCCATAAAAATATGTAATTTCTCTTTGCAGGATTTTGAGTTTAAAGTTAAATCTTAAACTATATTTGGTTTTTAAAAAGGTGGAATATGTTTTATTAACAATTTTCCCTCGGTCAATTTCTTATCCAGAGTTTAGCAACTTAAAATTCAAACCTCGAAATCTCTTCCTAATGTAACAAATTCTTAAATTTCCATCCTATTCCTCGCATCCATCTTGCTGAGATTGGGCTTGCAAATACATTCAAGTGCGTAGCTTCCTTGGTTTTCCAATAGTTGTTATCGGAGATAGGGGGTAATGCTTGACAGTGACCAAGTCCAATAATGTTGCCAATGAATGGAAGGGAGGCCAGTAAACAAAACTCTGATTTGAGGAGGTGGCTAATGATGTGTAAAACGACAAGCTGTTGCAGAGGCTATTGATCCTTTAGCAAAATTGGCTGAGCGCTGATGTTAATTGGAGGTGTAGATTGCCGACAAGTTAGCTTTATATGGTGGTCAAAGAAGGATTTGCAATTTGGCCTTTGTGTTACGTAAACTTGCAATTGAGTTTGCTTGTAGTTGTGGTTGAGGTGTGGATTGCTTGCAAGTTCTTGCTCTGAGAAGTTCAGGATGCATGGTGTTGTGATGTAGAACAAAATGCTTAATTAAATATGTAATGTTGAAAATACACGCCTGCTGAATTAAAACAATAATAATTATGTTTACTTCTAGTGATTTAAACAAAGGTTAGAATATTAGAAAGATGATTAAAGCTTATGCCAAACTACATGTAAGTGTTTAGAAACAGGAATAATCACTTCTAATCAAGTTGACAAACCATGGGGGAGTTTCAAAAGAAATCTCTCAATTAATAATAAAATTAGGCACTATTAGAGTCTACTCACTCACACTCTTGTTGAAGGCTAGACGGAGATAGGTTGCACAACCCTTTATGATGCCACAAATTAAGGTAAGACTTAGGAAGGAAAAGATTTGGAGGAGAAATTCACATTGATCAAGACTTGGAAATGATCTTCCATTGAACGGAAGAGAGCTATCCGTCGATAGCATCAGCTAGGGTGAAGATGATCCTCTCTACGTATTCTTCTACTGTTTGATCAATCTCCAAGTTGAGGTCGAAGAACGGTGATTTGAGGATATCAACTTGAGCTTGATCATTGTAGATGAATCCGTGATCAAGTTCTGGATCCGTCATGCATGTGGCAATAGTCGATTTTAATGTACTAGCGCTTTCAGACAGCAAACGGATTCTTTCCGGATGGTTGGACAACAAAGATCCTTGCTGAAATTTTCTGGACAGCAAGTGATTTTCAGCAAAAAGGGGAAGAAACGTGTGGGAGAGGCTTGGGAGGTGGTGACTAGGGTTGAGAGAGGTTAAGGGGGAAGGTGATTTGAGAGTTTAGTGGAGTAGTTGAATTAGCTAGGAGAGAGGGAGAGGGGCGGTTGGTCTTGTAGGGAAATTAGTGGATTGATTGGAGGGTTTAATGGGAGCATTAATTGACTAGGAGAGAGAGAAGGGGGGTGGCAACCCTTGATTGGGATTGATTTGAAATTCAAATCCCCAACCAAAGATGGAAGGAGGGAGGGGTTATGGGCTTTCTTTGCATGCCAATTCAAGCAACCCAAGTTAGGAAAGAGGATTTAAATCAAATCCTCCTATTAAATTCAGATTTATTTGATTGGAAATCTGAATTAAAACTTCCTAGCATATATGACTTATTTAGGAAAGTAATCTTAATTCAAATTGATTAAAATTTGAATTTTGAAAACCTTTCCTAATTTAAATTGTTACCAATAAGGAAGGTCATAATTGCTTGGTTTTGGAACTTGGAGGGAAGGATTAAAGGGAAAGTGGCCAACAACTAGGGCTTGGGCTAGGGCAAAGGTGTTTCGGCCAAGGAAAGGGGAAGGAGGGACGGTGACTTGTAGGGTGGAGGGGAAAAGGTGGCCGGTTTAGGTTAGTGGAGGTGGGGGTTTTGACCAAGAGAGGGGGAGGAGAAGTGATGGCCAGCAATTGTAGAGAAGAGAGGGAGGGAAGGAGATGGTCGGTAGTTTATGGGGGAGAGGGGAGGAAGGGGAAAGAGGAGGTCAACCACGAACCCGGACATTTCCTGCGGTTGGTGGGTATTACGATGCCCTCACTTAGGGGCTTCAATCTCTCCAAGAACCCACAAGCTCTCCCAAGACACAAGTGCAAAAATTTCTTGTAATAATATTCATTAGCCTCTTCAAAGAGGAAGAGGGGATATAAATAGCTAGGATTTACAATGAAGAAATAAAAGACACAAATGCCCCTAAGGGTCACAAGCAACTATTCCCTCAAGTGAGGGTCGAAACTGAAAAATGCATAAATAAATCAAATACATATGATAACTCAAAAATAAATCGGTGTGATCATGGCCGTAGATCGTCGGTCTCGTCTCTGGTAAACCTTCCAAGGTCGGATGTCCTCATCATGGTGTGATTGTGAAAATGTTTGGAATTATGCATGTACTAATTTAAGAAAAAAAATTGATATCTTTGACTGCTCTCAAAATGAAGGAAACATACAAAGGAATGCTTCCTTTTGTTTTTGCAAATATTTATTGGTTGTCATGAAGGAGAAAGTAATTGGACTTTATGTGTTGCATGGTACAACATCGGGTAATATTGTTTGACTTTGTCACTTCAGTGGTTTTTAACTATGATTTGAGGAAAAAAATTAATCTTTTTATTGCAGTTTAGTTTCTAAAATAAAAGAAGGGATAAATTAAGGAGAGTTTTGAAGATGATTAAGTGAATTAGTCTTGTATTAGTGCTAGGTCACACCATTGTAATAGTAAAAGCTAGTAGAAAACCACTTTAAATGTATGAAAATTTAAGGGCTAGTGCATGTTCAATATTGATGGATCTATCCTAGCGTGCAACATATGTGCTTTGGAGGTCTGTCATCATTGTGAAGTTCAAACATCACTTTTTTTTTTTTTGAAGTTCAAACATCACTTGGGCTTTTTCAGTTTGCACGTTATTCAACTTTTTGGGGTTTTAAGAACTTACAATGCTCTTCGAGATGCCACACAAAGTTGATCCACTCATGACAATACCACTAGTAACCTTATGTACGAGGGCGAGATTTTCGGGAATGGACAAATTTTTGTAATAGATATTATTAAAAAATTAATAAAGAAAAAATAATTAAGAATTTTAAAAATTTGCCTAGTTGCCCTTAAATGGATGACTGGGTGCTGACGTGTCACACCCGATCATGGGATGAGTCAGGGGTTTATAATTTTTTTAATAGTGATTGTCAATCTCATGTTGAACAGACGACAAAATCTTGTAAAATATATTAGTTTTTATTTTCAGCTATATGGAAAGCTGCTTGTCTGTAGCCTTTGAAGAGAAATAGGGCTAGTCGCCTATTTAATGGCAACTGGCCCTCATCTCCACCTATTAAACCCTACGCGAGAACTATTATGAAACTATTGTTTTGTTGGCAAGGAACTAAGGAGAAAGAATTAGGTCATGCTTCAGTACATAAATTCCTATCATACCATTTTAAAGATCATCTTTCTTCGAACTTGACTTTGGTTAATATCTGATTCATTGCAAAGATTCATTTAGTTCTTTTTTACTTTTCTATGATGAAACTTTTTCCAATTTGTGTTGATGCATTAACTAACATATGAATGCTTGCAATTGGAGTATGTTTATTAAGTGTAATGTGCAGTCATCTTTATTGTTGAATCACATTACCCTACAAGCCAGGTCAAAATAATATTCCCCTTTTGTATGATTTTCTCTCAACACTGAAATTTTTCTAAACTTTTATGGTAAAAGTATAAGGAAATCAAAGTTGAAGCACATTTATTACGTATGTTTTGTCGGAATATGTTCACTACACACTCCACACTGAATTTTAGTCTTTCCTCACCTCATGTCTTTTGTTTAATTTTGCTTGCTCAACAGAAATCTCAAGGAAAAGGAAGGTCAAGTGATGTGATTATGATGGTAGATCCTTTGGAAGCTAAACGTTTAGCAGCCAAACAGTTGCAAGAAATCCAGGCTAAAGAAAAGCTAAGAGTAAGTGCAGTTAACCTTTCATAGTAGATTGTCGAAAGTACCATTTTATTGTTGGGGCAATTATATTTATAAAATTTATACCCAATTACCTCCATTTTTAATAATACCACCAAATCGTCAAGGGCACAAAAAAAATCCATGTTGTATTCTTTATTTTTTTGGAAGTAAGAATTGAGTTTATATACCTCATAACACCTAAAATTAGATAAATACACCTGAAGGTTCCTTGAGGATCAAAATGCCCTCGTGTGGACTAGAATTTACTCTTTTAAGTTATTTGCAACTAAAATTGGTTTGAATAAGGTTTGAACAAATATCGATCAAGGTTGTGATCATATGCGATAAAAATTCGGTCCAATGTCGAATATGTTTCAAATCTTAATTGAACATTTTTTTTTTGTTTTTGAAAGAACTTTCAATCTATGTTCAAATATGAGTAGAATGAGGTTCAAAAAGACATTGTTAGAATATGATTCTTTTAGTTTTCGACATAGCATAACAAATTCAAAGAGGATAACATAGAAAATTCAACTATAATATAGATTCAATAATGATCAAATAGGGTACATGGGTTGAATAATGATCCAACATGATTCAAATATGTTTGAATTTGGTAGATACGTCCGAGAGCGATCATATCATGCATAATATAGTGAAAATAACAAATAACATATCATTGCATAACTTTTTATTTAGTGACAGTATTTTAAGAATTATAATTGATCAATGCAAAACAATTATGAAAACTGTGAGTCCTTGGTCTTACAAGTAATTTAATTATGACCTCTAACTCTACAGCAGCTATATCTATATTGGGCCACATCCTTCTCCTTTTTTGAAAGACTAATCTTTTTCTTTGATGATCAATATCAAATTTACTAATGGGGATAATATGACAAGTATTTTCATTTTATCTGGAATCTCTTCGATGCTTTTTTTTCCAATTGGATATATGCTAACTATGCTTCTTGTGTATTAAAATTTGAACATAAGGTATAACAACCGACACTCCGGTCCCAAGTTGCTATCAATACATGTTCGTATGGAAGATCCATTAGATTAAAATTTTCATATGTACATTTTCTCTCCTCTAAAATAATTATTCATCATTAAGGTTACCATTGGTGACATTTAATTTAAATTGACTAATTGGGTAGACAATTATGCTTTAAGCCTTAAGTATTTTTCCCTGATGCTTCTTCGACTTTCTTTGTTAAAATATTTTTTGTGTTCATTGAATGTTTTGTCAATTGATAAATCATTTTTACATTGTGTGCCTCAAACTCTAATGATTTAGTCATTGGATTAGAGCATTTGATTTTATTGAAGCACTTGAAAATATCAATTGTTATTATATCAATTTTCAAGGAAAAAGTGCGAGTTATTGTTCAAAACTAATTTCATTCTCAAGATAAGATGCTATGCCTATATTATTTACACGTATTTTGTCAAGTACCCAAAGAACTCGACACTTATATATGCTTTGAAAGCTAAGTGATGTGTGAGAACTATTGGTTTTGAACTTTGCCATGATATTCATTACCACATGATACGTGCAAGCTTCATTACCACACACGCAAGCTTCAAACCCAATAACTCTTAGTTGGCAGTCAAAGTTTCCAACCAATAGATCAATGTAATATTCCTCTGATCTTCCTATAAGGACCATTTATTCTTTATAGGGATTCTTTAACCATGGAATTGATGACTCTATTTAAATGCAGAGGCAACGCAGAATTGAAGCAATTAATGGTGCTTGGGCTATGATTGGATTAACTGCAGGCTTGGTTATTGAGGGTGAAACTGGGAAAAGTATAGTATCCCAGGTGAGCATGAATTATATTACAATTTTAAAAACTTCTTATCAGAAACAAATTGGAACTAATACCTTTTGTTTTGTTTTTTGTTTTTCTTGCCTCATGATCAGCTGGCTGGGTATTTGGATGCCATCTTCAGCTTCTTCAGTAGATAGCATTCAGTTTACTATTATCATTCAACATTGTGGCAGTGAATTTCTTCATTTTATTTGAGATATTTTTCTGTCTACTGAAGCTGACATATTACTTGAGAGGGTAATCTGTGTTAGTAAACACCATTGATGACCTTTGGCTCATAATTCTGGTCTGCTTTACAAGTTTTGTATACCAAAAATTCAGCTAATGAAAGTGGATGATTTTGCTACAGTTTGATTCTCATATTTAGGCTTTTTTTTTTTTTATACAATTAGGATTGTAAACAAATCTAGTCGAGCTCGAGTAATCATTGACTTGAGCCTGAAGTTGATTAATTCATTTAGTTCAAGCTTGAGTTTGAGCTTAATTTTACGAATTCGAGTCCGCTCACAAGTCATTTATATATTGTAAAAGATATTTTTTTTTAAATAATTGTTATAATAAAATGATAAAAAAAAATGAGAAATTAGAAGAAATTAATAATGATGGATTAAATATAAATATAAAAGGTAGACTAGACTCGCCTACATTCATAGATATAATTATGTAAAGTTTTTTCTTACACTAATTTCTGTCTACCTTTTGACAAATTATTAAACTAACCTTTTTGGTAGGAAGCTGTTTGACTTGCAATTATATATCTAGCTATTTATAAAATAATGAACAACAATATTTTGCTTTACTTCATAGGCTTCACATATAAATTAATACATGCAATTATTAATCAAAATTTTAAAATTAAGATTACTTAAAAAGTCAAAGAAAATGCATGCCTAGCAGCATAAAGAAGAGTAACACATATGACACATAAATTTGATTATAATAAGATATTCGGACTTATATGTTTAATACATAAATTTTACCATCTATATTATCCAGCATTTTGTTACATGAGAATCGCGTCGGACACACTGCCTAACCAGGTGATGCCCACGGATGCAAACTCGGTAGATACACTGCTTAGATCTATAGATGTCCTTGCCTATGAGCTATGTTAGATGTCGTTAGGGGTGCAAACGAGCTAAGTCGAGATCGAGTCAGGGGAGTGCTTGAGTCGAGCTCGACTACCAAATATCGAGCTTGAGCTCGAGGTCGACTTATCTCACGTCGAGCTTCTTTCCCACCTCCGTCATCGAGCATTGTGCCTGCATCGAGCTTCGTCGCCCCGAGCAGGCTAGCCCCCGCTAAAAGCATGCAAGCTCCGACCTCCGTCGCCCTCAGCTACGTGGTTGAGCTCTGTCGTCCCGAGCAGGCTTGGTCACGTCCGTTGTCATCCGGAGCTCTGTCGTCGTCTCGAGTTCGACTGTCGAGCAACACAAGAACTCCGTCGTTTTGATTTTCCCACCCGACCTTTGGTTCGTCCTTACGCCCGCTCAAACCAAAGTTTTGTTTTCCCGCTCAGTTGCCTCCGCAAGCTACCCGACAAGTTGACGAGTCGAGCGAAGGTCTATTAGAGCTCGATAAGCCGTCGAGCTCGACTCGAGAGCTCAATAAGCTCGACTCATCGAGTCTGTTGCTGGGTCGGGTCCGAGCCGGCTTGACTCGATTACACCCCTAGATTTTGTTGTGGTTGAGCCTATCGATATTTTCTAGCATTTCATGGACTCGTCAATGCCCTCACCTATGAGCTCTAATGCAATTAACTCGCTTCTTTTTTTGTTGAGGGCTTCAAAAAATTTCTTTGGGAGTGGAAGATGCGGAGTGCGAGCACAGAGATGGAACATAAGGGTGAATGCTTCACAACGAACGTCGGGACAAACAACAAAGAAGGGCATAGATATATTGACTAATTCATCTCCTAAAAACAATTAACGACAGCCTAACTGCGTTTGCCAAACTAATAGAAATATGAGGCAGAAAATAAAACCAATCCAAAATTACCTCCCAACCATTGCTATTTTTCTCCTCCTAATTCCATTTTCAAGTTAATTAATCTATATAGACAATCTCTGTAAAGGAAAAAAAAAAAAGGATTCTGAACTATTTCTTAAGAAGAGAAGATTAACGGGATTTGAATGCTCTTAAGGTGATTTAAGGCTGCTTCTCAGTTATTTTTCTTTGCTTTGATATTACTTAATTTCCTTTTAATTCTCATTATGATAACCCATTAATATGTGGTGAATATTCATTAATTATTTTAATTAACGCCTAATTCATTAATATAAAGCAATCTTTTTTTTTTCTTTTCCTTTGCAGAGGAAAAAGAAAAAGGGCCATTGCAGATCACAATGGACTGAGGAGAGAAGGGATATGAACAACAGATTCCATTCTTCTTCCATATCTGATTTCTATTTGAGTTTTTAGGAGGTCAGGTCTTTGTTGTGGCTTCAATGGCTATAGAGAAAAAAGGCAGGAAAAAGGTTTGTATTTAGATATTATGTCTGTTTTATTTCATCATCATCATCATCATCATCATCATTTTCATTTGTTTAGGGTTTAGGTTTTCTTTGTTTTGATCCATTACTTTTATCTATGTTATCTTTGCTACAAATCTTTTTTCATAACTAATCTTTTGAGATTAAGGTTTCGTTTGGGATGGCTTTCTTTCTGCTTCTTAAAGCAATTTCCTAGTACAAAAATTTTAATTTTTATACTAGGAAGCTGTTTTAAGAAGCAATAAAAAACCCGTCCCAAACGAAGCCTAAATTTCTATAACTTTTTTTTAATGAATTTTTGTCTTTCATGGCGCAAGTCATGTCTAATCAGTTCTAAATTTATCGTTCTAATATGGTATGTCTTAATCCGAACATTCTCATTTCTATCAAATTTGATTTGTTTGTTAATGATTTTTTAGTATCCAATGCTTTGATTTATACAACATTAGGGTTTAAGGTTTAAAATTTATTGTCTAACTTAATTTTGGTCCATCAAAACTTTAAAAGTTTATGATCGACTACATAATTCGAGAAAAATATGAAAATATCTCCATAAATCATGAAACTTTTCAAAGCATTTCAGGTGGTTTCAAGTCCTGAAATCAATTACATAATATGCATTAAAGGTCTTAAGTCAAATTTAGGATTTTCTATCTTGGGATATATTCTCGCCTGACCAATTTATATCGTGCTCTTACACTTTCTATAATACACTTGGAAGGCGCCAAAATCATTTGCCCGCCATCTAGAGGCTAACCCCCTTTGGGGCCTCCACCAAATTTGTTGCATATGTGCGCGCGCACGTGTGTGCATATATATAATGGTATTAGATTTGAAAAAATAGCATCCAATATGCACAATATATGCGTATTTCAATAAGATTTGAAACTAACATACGAAATAACAATTTTGCAATAGAAACTCATTGTGGAACTAAAGGTTTACATGCATTGCAAAGGTTGCGAAAGCTCGGTTTTTATGACTCTTCAAAAGCTCAAAGGTAAAATAAGTATGACTTGACCTTATCAATTTTTTTTTCTTATAAAATATCTCTCTCTTATAAATATTTAATTTAAACTAGGTGTTGAGGAGGTCAAAGTTGACATGGATGGTCACAAGGCTATAGTAATTGGACGTATAAAACCAGAAAAAATTCTGAAGAAACTCAGAAAGAAAACAGGAAAGAAGGCTGAGATTCTAACATTAAAAGAGATTCTCAAAAACAAACAAAAGGAAAATTATCCAAAAAATGAAGAGCTCAATGATGTAAGGAATGATAAAGTTGTTGTATTTGAGGATCTTAGTAAAAATAATTATGATGTTTATTTTGGTATGTTTAGTGATGATAACCCTAATTCATGCTTGATTATGTAGTATCTGGTTTTTTGTTATTTGTTTGTAAAAATACAATTTATACTATTTATGAAAAATGTTACAAAAGTGTAATTTGAAAAATTTTCTTCTCATAGAGAAGCTATGTAGCCCATGCTTCCAATGTGTAATTATATTAGAATTATTATCATATAAATTCGAACATGTGAATATGCATTCACTGTTTATAGTATTTATTTTTGTAATACATCATTATTATTGCCAATATTTTTATTCATTATATTTTTCTACATTACTTTCAATTCTTCTATCACCGATATATAGGAGAAATTATTACGTGCGGAGTCCGGATGAGACAGTTGTATGATTTACTTTGTATACTCATTAAATACTACATAAATACTTAGTAAAAAAATTACTGAGCATTTATGCAATATTTACTGAATATACTCAGTAAACCGGACAGTTATCCCGATCCGGACTCCGCACAAAATTATTCTGTGCAACATTAATTGAAAGGAACTCAAATATCTAAGATCTTATTTGGGATTAGTGCAAACATTGACTATGAATTGTACTCATCTTAAAGCGTATCAAAGGGCTCTGATGTTCATATTGATAAATTATTTCTCCTGAATTAATCTAATATTAAATCCATAAAAGACATCATAATTCTATATTTTTAACATTTCAAATATCAATTTTACTAATTTTTCAATTGAATTTCAATAGAGAGTTACATATTGAATCCTCATTTAGACTTAAACTTTTAGGTTTTTCTTCTATTTTTGAACATTTCAAACATTTGATATGCTTCAATCTCTTAAGCATATTTTCTAAAATTAAAAAAAAAAATATTATGAAAACTTATCTTTTTTTCCCAATAAAAATAAAATATGAAAATGATATCAATTTCCTTTTTTTTGGCTTATAGCAATCAAAACTGTTGCAGACTAGAATATACACGGTGATAGAGTTAGAACATTTTCGTCTCAGCGTTGCACGGATATCCAGCACACAAACACAGGGAAAATCATGAAAAGGGAAAAAACCACGGGGCTACGCCTAGTTGAAATAATTCCACTAATGTTTGCTTGAGGTATAAGAGGCTGATTCATCCTTAAAATTTAGGACGATCAGATTACAATGCTTCACTTCCGAATTGAAATCCAATTACAAACAAGTTGTGTATTCGAGTTGAATTTAGAGTCACTTAGAATTCCAGCATCACTTAAAAATCGGGCAGAGTTCTGGCGTCACTGGAAAGTCAAACGGAATTCTAGCATTACTTGAACGTCAGACAGAATTCTGGGCGTTACTTGGGCAGAATTCCGGCGTCACTTTGGCGTCGGGCAGAATTCCGGTGTCACTTGGGCGACGGACTGAATTCCGGCGTCACACGGGCGTCGAGCATAATTCGGCGGTGATCGAGGAGTTTCTTCCCTCCTATCCTTATCTTCTTCTTCTTGCTTGGATCCCCTCTCAGGAGAAATGAAGGGTATATTTATAGATTTCTGAAGTGGC